TCAGGCAGTTGGGATAATGTCTGAAACTTAATAGAGGGGACTGTTAATAATCCAGAGTAGATATACAATGCAAAAGGACAAGAATGCATCAGTAGAAACAAAGAATTAGTGGATTTGTAATAGTGGAACCTTTACAGGTGTGTGACTTCATAGAAAATTACAGTAGCAGAAATTCAAAGCTTTGTTTTATTTATGTTAAGTGAAACTGCATTTTCTGTTTGGTATAAATAAATGTTTCCATTGATTGCTGTTGAAAGGTGGCACTGTCCTTCCATAATAGTGGGTTAGTGAAAGAAATTTGTACTCTTGATTTTTATTTTTTATTTTTATAAGAGAGAGGATCTTGCGCTGTTACCCAGGCTATGGTGCAGTGGCATGATCACGGCTCACTGCAGCCTTGAGCTCCTGGGCTCAAGCCATCCATCCTCCTTAGCCTCCCAAGAAGGTGAGACTACAGGCATGTGACAACACCCCTCAGCTAATTTTTTTTTTTTTTTTGAGAGACAGGATCTCGCTATGTTGTCCAGGCTGGTCTTGAACTCCTGGTCTCCGGTGATGCTACTACCTTGGCCTCCCAAAGCACTGGGATTGCAGATGTGAGCCACTGCACGCAGCCCTCTTGATTTTTCTGATCAGCAGTTTTAGGTGGTGACGGCTACCTAACTAGTATAGAGTTATAGAATTTATCATTTCTAAGTACCCTTTTTCTTAGACTTTCATGTGTAGAAGTTTTATGTTTAACTTTTCATTGACTATGTTTTTAAAAGTAAAATTCCTCTAATTTGTTAGAATTTACTTGTGGGGAAGGAGAGGTTGGAATGGAACACAGCATAACCCATATATAAGATACATGTGACAAATATCTTTTTTTGTTTCTAATTCTTTTTAGTTTCTGTATTAATTAATGATAGTATGTATTTCAGAATAGAGGCTAAGAACCGTATAAATTTTAAAGACAGCAAAATTTCTGGCAAGAAACATTGTATCTTTTTTCATGGGTTTAGCACTTAGTTTTAGAAGAATTTGTGGTGGTTTAGTCCGTTATTCTGATTTAGAGGGAAACCTGTCTCAACCCTGAGCAAAGAAAGAACTGTATTTGAGCATAGTTCTTTACATGTTTTATTCTGTGGCCAAAGTATATCAGGATATACCATGATGTTCATCAATATAATTAACTCCAATGTTGTATTAGTGATATACCAGATTTGTATGTATATTGTTATAGAATGCATTATTTGATCTCTAAAAGGTAGTTCTGAATGACTTTCACAGAAGGAAGCCTGTGATGAAATAAACCTGTTTTGATTTTACTGTACCCTAAATCTTTTAAGTAAGTCTTCTATATTTCCTGTTTTATTTTAATGCAATAAAGCTTTCCTTTGACAGTGACCTTGACTCAGTTTAAGGATTGATTCTGAATATAGGAGATGGTAATAGAAAAAAGTACCATTTAAAAAGTGGGAGATTTTAGGCTGGGCACAGTAGCTCACACCTGTAATCCCAACACTTTGGGAGGCAAAGATGGGAGGATCACTTGAGCCCAGGAGTTCAAGACCAGCCTGGGCAATATAGTGACATCCTGTCTCTACAAAACATAAAAAACCAGCCAAGTGTGGTGGTACACGCCTGTAGTCCCAGCTACTCAGGAGGCCGAAGAGGGAGGATACTTTGAGCTCCGGAGGTGGAGGTTGCAGTGAGCTGAGACCGCGCCACTGCACTCCAGCCTGGGTGACAGAGCAAGAAGACCTTGTCTCAAAACAAAAAAAAAGAAAAAAAGTGGTGGGGAGATTTTGACATTATTGCATTCATTTGTTTCTTAACTTCCCGTCTATAGCTTATCTGCTTCTATAATTGTCAATCCTTAAAAACTGTCATACCTCATCTGGAAGAATTTTTATTGAATAAAGGCATAACAGCATATGCTACCATAAGCGATGTTAAATTATATATGAGTACATTTCAGGATAGTATGTTATTGTCATAGTAAAAGGAAGGAGATGAATTAATGAATAATATAATTTAAATTTGCTTTGGGCCTTGCAGCACTTGCTGTTCATGGCTGTACCTGATCTTTTTGCAGTTTGTCTGTATTTAGCTTTATGTCTAATTGAAACTGTGTCTGTAGTTAATTATTTGGCTGTATGTGAAAGTTCGTTTGAGGAAAGGAGAGGTTATTCGTATTCTAAAAGTGTATGTGTACTATATAATTAATGTTGACAGTATGGTAATTAGAGTTTTTTATCTGGCATCTCTTAAAAGTAACAATTTTTAATTCTATTTTTTATTAGCTTTAAATATAGAATGTATAATGTAAATGATTTATATTTTAAAATTTATTGTGTCTTGATCCTCTTGAAATTGACTACATTTAAATTCTTTGCACATCCTAATGTCTGTGAGAATGATTCAATAAAATAACAAAAAGTCATATTTAGGTAATGCATTTGGTTTACTCATTTTTATTTTAATAGAGCCCTGTGCAGTAGAATTGGTTTTTTTAATAATGTTACTGCACAGTAGTCTAGCAACTACTTACGTAAACAGTGTGAAGGTTTTTATACTTCTGCCAGACGACAACTTAATATGAAACACAGAGTTGTTTTATTTGTCTCTACAAAGAGCAGTAGTGTCTTTCAGGCCGGGGGCAGGGAGATTTCTTATACTTTCTTCCCTAAGAATAGTTATTTGAATATGAATACTTAAAATCTTTTCGTCTCTGACTTTGCCACTGTGTGACCTTGGCAAAGCCCTTGATTTTACATAATTTCCACATCAAAGTAAGGGATAATACCCTTTGCTTCTTATCTTAACATATTATTTTAAGTGTTAAATAAGAAAAGTACGTATCAAAGTAGCTAGAATTACTATTTTGAAAAGATTTGCATTAGTGAAATTTGGTAGACAGTTCAGCTAACGGTTATTTAGAGTCTAATGTGGTGAGATAAAAAACTACACTTGATACTCATCTGCTTATACAACAGAACTATTCTGGTGATTAATTATAAAACATATCCCCAATGACAGTGTGCTAACATTATGTTCCCACAGAAGAAAGTTTTTGTATACTTGGGATTTTAGTTTTTGGGATAAATCTGGGGCATATTTGGAATAATAATGATATATATTTGAGCATTTGATAGCATGTTTAGAAATCAGTTTTTGTTTTGATGGCCTGCTTTGCCCTTAGTTTGTAAGCGATCACGTGCTGCTAGTGCTAGGCATTAGTGAATAGATGAATAAGGTGTGATTTCCCTGTCACTCAAAGAATGTGCAATGTGCAGATACCTTCATTGCTCCCAGACCTTACATATCTTACAGTTTTTGTCTTAGTACTCAGAGTAGGTAAGTAGTGGCATTGGTACCTTCTAGTGTGTAAAAATTGTTAATTTCAGAGTACAAGATACTGTATTTTAGTAGTACTAATGCAAAAACATCTCAGTCTGTGATTTTTAGATTTCATTTATTCATTAGCAAGTATTGACACCTATTATGTACCAGGTACTCTAGGCATCTGTGCTAAATTAGTGAACAAAGGTAAGCCCCCTGTCTTTGTGGAGCTTTTGTGTTCTAGTGTGACAGTCAACTATGAACTTAATAAATTATGTAATATGTTAAAAGATAAATGCTATGCAGGAAAATAGAGCAGGTTAAGGGGGATTATTATTGAGGCAAATGGGCATGGGCATATTGCTATTTTAAATAAGGTAGTTATGGTCTCAGAGAGAGGTGACATTTAAACAAAGACTTGAAGGAAGTGAGTTGGCTATGCAGATATTTGGAAGGAGAATGTTCCCAATAAAAGAAATAGCCGGGAATGGATCTGGAACCCATTGAGGAACATAAAGGAAGGCCTTGGAAGCAGTATAAGAGAGGACTAGAATAGTAAAAGATGAAGTTGGAGAGAAGAACAAGATTATGGGAAGTTTTCATAGGATGATATAAAGACTTTGGTTTTTTTCTGAGAGTGAAGTAGTCATTGCAAGATTCTGGATATGATCTGACTATAAGCTTGGCTGCTAGCTGCTGTTATGACAGGTTGAGAACTTTAGCTTTGTATACCCAAGAGAATAGGAATTTGAGAGTCTAAACGTGTCTTATGCAAACCAGAAGCTAATGATTCTGTGTTCACACTCACCGAGCAGGCGGGTCTTCAGAGAGAAAAAAGTCCTGATACTTTCCAAGGTTCTTTGGTACAGATCAGCTTGATTCTTGTTGTGGTGTCCCTCTTTTATCCTTAGATTTTAGCTTTCTGTGGTCTGTCAGTTTCCACTAGCTAATCTTTCCAACTTCATTGTTGTCTTCTCTTTTACTCTGTCATCTCCTGTCATTTTATTGGTTATTTTAGGAGAATAAAGAGAAGCAGTTTTTCACTTGCTGTGTTGAAGCAGAAGACCAATAGCTTAAAAATTCATGTGCCAATGTGATTAGAAAAGAACTCAGATACTTGCACTGAAACTTCACTTTCCATTGTGAAACATCTTGCCACAATTAATAGTAATAATGCTATTTTCATGAAACACAAATCAGTCCTTCAAAAATTTAAAACTTAAAGTATCTACTCATGGCAGTAAAAAAAAAAAAAACAAAAAACCATAATCACTTTCTTTGTATACATTGTTTAAAAGTATCTTACCTCACTTTTATAAAGCCCCCACTTTGAGTTACTGTCGTGGAGCAGTTTAGATTTAAGAGCCCCTTTCAGGGAATGGATTTGGACAAAATGTGCTTGAGGATTTGAGAACCGTGAATTACCTAAAGACAACGTATTTTGGTGGAAAGATCATATAGTTAGGAAACTTGGATTTTGGCCCCATTTCTCTATGGGTGAATTTTAGACTTCAACAAATTATTTAATATTTTCATGCCTCCTCATTTGTGAAATAAGGGATTGCAGGTTAGATAATCTTTAAGTAGTTCTAAAAACCTTATGATACTTAATGTCATTTGGAAATTTTTAATGCTTATGTGGATAATTAATTTTTTTTAATTTTTTTATGCAGGTTAATGGTGCAATGTAAGAAACCTTTAAAAATTTCTGATGAATTAGTGCAGCAATATCAAATTAAAAACCAGTATCTTTCAGCAATAGCCTCTGATGCAGAACAAGAACCTAAAATTGATCCATATGCATTTGTTGAAGGAGATGAGGAATTCCTTTTTCCTGATAAAAAAGATAGACAAAATAGTGAGAGAGAAGCTGGAAAAAAACACAAGGTAAGAGGAATCACAGTATACCAAAAGGTCACTGTTGATTTTGTAGCACTGCATATAGTAACACTCTTAGTACCACAATTATTTCACTTCTTTTGTCTTAGAATAGAAAGAGTAATCATTTATTTAGAAAAACGTATTTTTGGCCGGGTACGGTGGCTTATGCCTGTAATCCTAGCACTTTGGGAGGCCGAGGCAGGCGGATCATGTGAGGACAGGAGTTCGAAACCAGCCTGGCCAACATAGTGAAACCCTGTCTCTAATAAAAATACAAAAAGTAGGTGGGTATGGTGGTGTGCGCCTGTAATCCCAGCTATTCAGGAGGCTGAGGCAGGAGAATCATTTGAACCCAGGAGGCAGAGGTTGCAGTGAGCCGAGATCAGGCCACTGCACTCCAGCCTGGGTGAGAGAGCGAGACTCCCGTCTCAAAAAGAAAAAAAAGAAAAGTGTATTTTTTTGAATGCACATGGTACCGATTATAGCTGATCTCCGATAATGAACATATTTTGTTGTTTAAAAGTTTCTGAGTTGGATAAAGGGTGTATTCAATTTTGTCGTAATGGAAATCAGGACATTTAGGTAGGCTATTTTGACAGTGATTTAAAAATACGTTGTAAGTGAATTACCAGTTTTCAAAGATAAAACAGAATATAGATCACTGAGTTTAAAAAATATGTGCTATTTTTGGCCGGGCGCGGTGGCTCAAGCCTATAATCCCAGCACTTTGGGAGGCCGAGGCGAGCGGATCACAAGGTCAGGAGATCGAGACCACAGTGAAACCCCGTCTCTACTAAAAATACAAAAAATTAGCCAGGCGCGGTGGCGGGCGCCTGTAGTCCTAGCTACTCAGGAGGCTGAGGCAGGAGAATGGCGTGAACCCAGGAGGCGGAGCTTGCAGTGAGCCGAGATCACGCCACTGCACTCCAGCCTGGGCAACAGCGTGAGACTCCGTCTCAAAAAAATAAAAAATAAATAAAATAAATAAAAAATAAAAAATATGTGCTATTTTTGAATATGTGATTCAGGAACTTACAGTGCACCTAAAAGTAAAAATGAAGTGCAAGTATATAGTATATATGAGAATTTGTTAAGATTAAGATAACTTTGCTAAACAAGAATTATGTCTTAAATACAAAATATGAAAATTGGCCAGGACAGTGGCCCATGCTTGTAATACAGCACTTTGGGAGGCTGAGGTGGGTGGATCACTAGGTCTGGAGTTCGAGAGCAGCCTGGCCGAGATGGTGAAACTCTGTCTCTACTAAAATACAAAAATTAGCTGGGTGTGATGGCGGGCGCCTGTAATCCCTGCTACTTGGGAGGCTGAGGCAGGAGAATTCGCTTGAACCCAGGAAGCAGAGGTTGCAGTGAGCCGAGATCATGCCACTGGGCTTCAGGCTGGTGACAGAGCAATACTCCGTCTCAAAAAAAAAAAAAAAAAAAAAAAAGAAAACCGAAATCTGTAAAGTTATGAAAAGGGTCCAATAATATGTGTGGGTTTTTTTTTTGTTTTTTTTTTTTTTGAGACGGAGTTTTACTCTTGTTGCCCAGGCTGGAGTGCAATGGCGCGATCTCCACTCACTGCAACCTTCGGCTCCCTCTGGTTCAGGTGATTCTCCTGCCTCAGCCTCCCTAGTAGCTGAGATTACAGGCTGTGCACCACCACGCCCGGCTAATTCTGTGTATTTTTAGTAGAGATGGGGTTTCTCCATGTTCGTCAGGCTGGTCTTCAATTCCTGACCTCAAGTGATCTGCCCGCTTCGGCCTCCCAAAGTGTTGAGTTTACAGGCATGAGCCACCATGCCCAGCCCCCAGTAATACATTTAATACAAAGAATTAGTTTCACATAGTTTTACTTAGCCCTACTATATGCCAGATACTTGAAATTTTGTCTTTTTGGAAGTATGAGAGTAGTGGTAGCTGGGAAGGCTGCAGGTGTAATAGAAAGAACATGAACTGGCCGGGCACAGTGGTGTCTCATGCCTGTAATCCCAGCACTTTCGGAGGCCGAGGTGGGTGGATCACCTGAGGTCAGGAGAACGAGATCAGCCTGGCCAACATGGTGAAACCCCGTCTCTACTAAAAATACAAAAATTAGCCAGGTGTGGTGGTGCAAATGCCTGTAATCCCAGCTACTTTGGAGGCTGAGGCAGGAGAATCTCTTGAACCCAGGAGGGGTAGGTTGCAGCAAGCCAAGATCATGCCACTGCACTCCAGCCTCGGCGACAGTGAGACTCTGTCTCAAAAAAAAAAAAAAAAAAAAAAAAAAAGAACATGGACTTTGGAATTTGACAGATTTAGGATAAAATTTCAGCTCTCACTACTTATTAGCCATATTTTCTGGGGCACATTAGAGTCTTTACTTTTTTATTTATAAAATAAACATACTACAGGCCAGGTGTGGTGGCTTACACCTATAATCCCAGCACTTTGGGAGGCTGAGGTGGGCGGATCACAGAGTCAAGAGATTGAGACTATCCTGGTCAATGTGGTGAAACCTCGTCTCTACTAAAAATACAAAAATTAGCTGGGCGTGGTGGCATGGGTCTGTAGTCCTAGCTACTCGGGAAGCTAAGGCAGGAGAGTCGCTTGAACCTGGGAGGCAGAGGTTACAGTGAGCCGAGATTGCACCATTCCACTCCAGCCTGGTGATAGAGCGAGCATCCATCTCAAAAAAAAAATAATAATAAGCATACTACTCACTTGTTAACTATAATAATCAGTGATTATGTTAAACACTTAGCTGGATGCCTGACACATAGCTCCTCAATAATTGGTAGATTTTATTGTTGGTAAATCATATATTTCAGCCTAACATGCAATATTTGTTTGCAGGTAGAAGATGGGACATCTAGTGTAACAGTGTTATCACATGAAGAAGATGCTATGTCATTATTTAGTCCCTCTATCAAGCAAGGTAAAACCTTTATTTCCTAATCAAAATATTGCTTTCCAGGATTGTTACTACAGACTGATCTGATATTGTTGGACTTCTAATACTCCTTTTTGTATAATTCATTATGTTTCATAGAAAGGAATCTTTCTTAAATGATGGATTTATTGGTTATCTTTTATTGGAAGAAGCAAGTTCAAGTGATAGAATTTGTGTTTTGAATTGTTGCAACCTCTTTCCTGTTTTTACATATAAAAATAGTTTTCCATTAAAAACTCAGTTTTATGTAATAGATTTCTCACACCCTTCTACTGGGAATTATGTGAAAGGAAGTAAAAGAATGAAGGCACATATTGACTGGAAAGTGATTGAGAAAGGCCATTATTATACTATGCCAAGGCTATAGTTATACTATCCAGGAAAAACACACTTGAAAAAAATAGGAGAAAGATACAGATGTCCAGTTGGTTGACAGTAGAGTGTTTCATCATCATAACTCCAAGTGTTTGCTCTCTGAAGACACTGCTTTCAAGCCTATAGCTATGGGGGTTATAATTAGAAGACTATCAGTTCTCTTCATACCTCTCTCCATTGTTTAAACTATTGAAAAATGGATCTGGGCGTGGTGGCTCACGCCCATAATCCCAGCACTTTGGGAGGCCAAGGTGGGTGGATCACTTGAGGTCAGGAGTTCGAGACCAGCCTGTCCAACACAGTGAAACACCATCCCTACTAAAAAATACAAAAATTAGACAGGGTGCAGTGGCTCACGCCTGTAATCTCAGCAGTTTTGGAGGCCGTGGTGGGCAGATCATGAGGTCAAGAAATCGAGACCATCCTGGCCAACATGGTGAAACCCCGTCTCTACTAAAAAAATACAAAAATTAGCTGGGCATGGAGGCACGCGCCTGTAGTCCCAGCTCCTTGGGAGGCTGAGGCAGGAGAATGCTCAAACCTGGGAGGCAGAGGTTGCAGTGCGCTGAGATCATGTCACTGCGCTCCAGCCTGTCAAGAGAGCGAGACTCTGTCTCAAACAAATAAAAATTAGCTGGGCATGGTGGTGCATGCCTGTAGTCCCAGCTACTTGGGAGGCTGAGGCAGGAGCATCTCATGAACCCAGGAAGTGGAGGTTGTGGTGAGCCAAGATGGGCTGGGCGCAATGGCTTACACCTGTAAGGCCGAGACAGGTGGATCACCTGAGGTCAGGAGTTCGAGACCAGCCTGGCCAACGTGGTGAAACCCCGTCTCTACTAAAAACACAAAAATAAGGCATGTGTGGTGCCTGGTGCCTGTAATCCCAGCTACTGGGAGGATTAGGCAGGAGAATTGTTTGAACCCGAGAGCAGAGGTTGCAGTGAGCCAAGATTGTGCCACTGCACCACAGCCTGGGTGACAGAGCGAGACTCTGTCTCAATAAATAAATAAATAAATAAAAATTGAAAAATGATTTAGAATAAGCTCCACTATGATTGTGTTGTGACATAGAATAAATATGAGTAAAATGTTTTAAAGTTTTCACCTGTAAAATGAGGAGATAAGGTCATTGCCTACAGTCCTTCAGATCTAAAACCACAATTTCTCAATTAAACTTTACTGGAATTTTGTTGTCATTTTCTTCCCACACACACAAGTTAAGAGAGCTGTTCTGAGGCCACTAATTAACAAATATTTAGTTAACACCTGTTATGTGTTGGTACTGTTTGGGTGTTGGGAATACAGTGGTGAAGACTCCACTTTGAATGTGTCTGACTTAAACTCCTTGTGAATGGAATAGAGAGACATAGTATAGTAAATCATTTACAAAACCCATTTAACCTTTAAAGTAATTTATTCTTTTAATTGACAAGTAAAAATTGCATATATTTATGGTATACAACATGATGTTTTGGGGCGGGGTGTGTGTGTGTGTATATATATACACACACACACACACACACACACACCCCAAAATATATATATTTACTTTTTTTAAACATTTTACTCATATTCTGTGTCACAACACAATTATAGTTTATCTTATTCTAAATCATTTTTTCAGTTATAATTTAAACAGTGGAGACTGGTACGAGGAGAATTGTTAGTCTCCTATTATAACCTCACAACTGTAAGCTTCAAAGTACTATCAAGTCTTCAGTGAACAAACACTTGGAATTATTATATATGTGTGTGTGTGTATATGTGTGTGTATATATATATAAGTGGAATGGGCAAATCAAGCTATTTAACATATGCATTACCTTACATACTTACCTTTTGTGTGTGTATGTGGTGAGAATACTTAAAATGTACTTTCAGTGGCCGGGCGCGGTGGCTCAAACCTGTAATCCCAGCACTTTGGAAGGCCGAGATGGGCGGATCACGAGGTCAGGAGATCAAGACCATCCTGGCTAACATGGTGAAACCCCGTCTCTACTAAAAAATACAAAAAACTAGCTGGGTGTGGTGGCACACGCCTGTAGTCCCAGCTACTAGGAGGCTGAGGGAGGAGAATCGCTTGAATCCGGGAGACAGAGGTTGCAGTGGGCCGAGATCGTGCCACTGTACTCCAGCATGGGCGACAGAGTGAGACTGTCTCAAAAAAAAAAAAAAAAGAAAAAGAAAAAAAGTTGGATTCATGGAAGTAGAAAGTAAAGTGGTGATTACCAGAGACTGGGGGTGGGAGAATGGTAGATGGCCAGAGGACACAAAATTTCAGTTGGGAGGAATAAGTTCAAGGGATCTATTGTAAATTGTGGTTACTACAGTTAATAATAGATATTACATTTGAAAATTCAGAGTAGATTTTAAGTGTTCTCACCATAAAAAAAAAAAGTACCTGTATATGAGGTAATGAATACGTTCAGTAGCTTGATTTAGCCATTTCACAATACATACATTTAAAAAAAAAAAAAAAACTCAGAAACAAATTGGGTTATTTGGCCTACTTACCTATCCTGGAATATTCCCTAGCACTGGGCAAAGCACATTACTGACATTCTATTACATTTTATTTTTGGTGTTGAGGCACAGAGACATTAAGTAATTTGTCGAAGGTCATACTGTTAGTGGTGGAGCTGGGCTTCAGATTAAAATCTGTCTGGCCCAAGAGTCAGCTCTTAATCATTGTTCTGTTCTTCCTTTACATTTCAGAAAGATAGAAAAATATAGGCCAGGTGAGGTGGTCACACCTGTAATCCCAGCACTTCAGGAAACAGAGGCAGGTGGATTGCTTGAGCCCAGGAGCTCAAGACCAGTCTGGGCAACATGGCGAAACCCCAACTCGAGGGGAAAAAAAAAAAAATTAACTGGGCATAGGGTCATGTTGCTGTAGTCCCAGCTACTGGGGTGGGAGGATTGCTTGAGCCCGAGAGGTCAAGGCTGCAGTGAGGTGTGATTGCACCACTGCATTCTAGCCTGGTGGTGACAGAGCGAGACCCCGTCTCAAAAAAAAAAAAAAAAAAAAATTACAAATATGTGTGTGTATTTAATTCTGTTTTTCTAATGGCATTTATATTTTTGTTTGATGCATTAATTATTCATGTAGCGTACTTAGCTATTTTATGGATTACTTGACCTTATAGTGAGCTTCCTGGGAAAAATATAACCATTTATTTATAACTTTTTTTTCTATAAAAACACTTTCTAGACTTTAAACAATAAAGTGCAATTTCTTGTTGCATAATCCCCTTATGACCTTAAAGTTATATGTCTAATTTAAACAGAATAGTACTTATGTGGTCAGTAGTAGCAGTTTTTTTTTGTTTTTTTGTTTTTTGTTTTTTGAGACGGAGTCTTGCTCTGTCGCCCAGGCTGGAGTGCAGTGGCCGGATCTCAGCTCACTGCAAGCTCTGCCTCCCGGGTTTACGCCATTCTCCTGCCTCGGCCTCCCGAGTTGCTGGGACTACAGGCGCCCGCCACCTCGCCCGGCTAGTTTTTTTGTATTTTTTAGTAGAGACGGGGTTTCACCGTGTTAGCCAGGATGGTCTCGATCTCCTGACCTCGTGATCCGCCCGTCTCGGCCTCCCAAAGTGCTGGGATTACAGGCTTGAGCCACCGCGCCCGGCCTTTTTTTTTTTTTTTTTTTAAAGACGGAGTCTCGCTCTGTCTTCCAGGCTGGAGTACAGTGGCATGATCTCAGCTCACTGCAACCTTCGCCTCCCGGGTTCAAGCAATTCTCTGCCTCAGCCTCCCGAGTAGCTGGGATTATATGCGCCTACCACCACACTCGGCTAATTTTTGTATTTTTAGTAGAGACGGAGTTTCACCATCTTGGCCAGGCTGGTCCTGAACTCCTGACCTTGTGATCCACGCTTCTTGGCCTCCCAAAGTGCTGGGATTACAGGTGTAGTAGTAGCAGTTTTAATTTTATTTTTCTGATTGACTTTTGTAGATGCTCCTCGCCCTGCTAGTCATGCCCGTCCTCCATCAACAAGTTTGATTTATGACTCAGACCTGGCTGTGTCTTTTACTGACCTTGATAATCTCTTCAATTCTGATGAAGATGAACTAACAGTGAGTATCTCATTAATGAACTGAGTATAGTTTGTTTTCCTTGATTTTATTTATTTTTATTTTTTAGAAGTGATTTGTGAGTTTAATACTATGTTTTAGCCCTGAACAATAGGAAATATTTTATAGTAAAATGTCATTCATTGATTTCTTTTTTAAATCTCATGTTTGAGTAGTCTTGCCATAATGTCACCTATAAACTTTGAGGGTTTTGTTTCTCCTTTTGTTTTTACATTGGAGGACACATGATTAACCTTAATTTGAGCTCTGCCATATGTTCTATTTTGCAGTTTTAGGAAGCAGAATTATTTTCCTATTTGATTCTGTAGTTTGAGAAATGACCCTGGAATTTACTCATTCAGAGAACACATAAATAATTGACATTATTTACTTCGTCAATTTATTAAGGAATACCAGTTCTTTTGAATTTGTTTTGCATCACAGCTATTATTATAAGACGGATACATGATATAACAATAAAAGAGGAAAAAATAATATTTAATCTTTAACACCCATTTGCAGAGAAAAGTGAAGATAAAAGAAATTAAAGCTTAAAATGAGATTCCCTAGAATGTCAAGTCTCTGTCAAATTAGTGAGTTGGGTGCTGCATTATCATAAAAGGGAATTCCTTTTCATCTGCATAAAGGTAGCTTGGAAACTTCTGTGGTACATTTGGTCTTTCTTTTACTGTATAATATGCATTTAGTCCTCTCTCAACATATATATCTCTCTATATGTGTATATGTGTGTGTGTACATATACATATATATGCTGCAGATACATAAACTTTTACTGTATATCCCATAGTGTAGTACATTTTAAGGCACCCTTTACTAGGTGACTATATCCTTGAATGCTTTGGCACATTAATACGTTCTCTCTACTACCATTCCTGTATCAGCTGTGGTTCCTCTGAGATAAAAAGGTTGTAGTCAGAACGTGGTCTTCTTATTAATATTTATCACAAACTGTCTAACAGAAGACATAGAACTAATATTAGCTCTGAAAACATTGGTAAGAGCTTGGAGATAGTAAAACTTGTTTGTTCAATGTATGAAAACTTAGGAACCCTATTGCTTTGTCATTAGATCTTCTGAAGTTTGTACTTAGTTTTACCTGTTAACAGTATTTTTGCAGGAGTAAGGAGACTATTAAAACAAGGTAAAAGTATAAGAATTTTGATAGGTGGGTGATTGATTATATACGAAACTTTAATGTGTTCAACTTAAGGAGACAAATGCTTTGCAAGTATCTTCTACCAAAAAGCATTTCTAATGTTAATTACTGCTCCTTCTTATTGCAAGTTTTCTTATTTTTATTTATTTATTTATTTATTTATTTTTTATTTTTTTTTTTTGAGACAGAGTCTTGCTCTGTCGAGCCCAGGCTGGGGTGCAGTGGCCGGATCTCAGCTCACTGCAAGCTCCGCCTCCCGGGTTTAGACCATTCTCCTGCCTCAGCCTCCCGAGTAGCTGGGACTACAGGCGCCCGCCACCTCGCCCGGCTAGTTTTTTTGTATTTTTTAGTAGAGACGGGGTTTCACCGTGTTAGCCAGGATGGTCTCGATCTCCTGACCTCGTGATCCGCCCGTCTCGGCCTCCCAAAGTGCTGGGATTACAGGCTTGAGCCACCGCGCCCGGCCTTATTTTTATTTATTTTAAGACAGAGTCTTGCTCTGTTGCCCATGCTGGAGTGCAGTGGTGCAATCCCGGCTCACTGCAACCTCTGCCTCCCAGGCTCAAGCAATTCTTCTGCCTCAGCCTCCTGCAATTCTTGTGCCTCAGCCTCCCGAGTAACTGGAATTACAGGCATGCCCCACCAGGCCCGGCTAATTTTTTGTATTTTTAGTAGAGGTGAGGTTTCACCATGTTGACCAGGCTGGTCTCGAACTCCTGGCCTCAAATTTTTTGATCTGCCTGCCTCAACCTCCCAAAGTGCTAGGATTACAGGTGTGAGCTACCACGTCCGGCCTCTTATTTTGGGTTTTTTTTTTTTTTTTTTTTTTTTTTTGAGACGGAGTCTCGCTCTGTCACCCAGGCTGGAGTGCAGTGGCCGGATCTCAGCTCACTGCAAGCTCCACCTCCCGGGTTCACGCCATTCTCCTGCCTCAGCCTCCCGAGTAGCTGGGACTATAGGCGCCCGCCACCTCGCCCGGCTAGTTTTTTGTATTTTTTAGTAGAGACGGGGTTTCACCGTGTTAGCCAGGATGGTCTCGATCTCCTGACCTCGTGATCCGCCCGTCTCGGCCTCCCAAAGTGCTGGGATTACAGGCGTGAGCCACCGCGCCCGGCCCTATTTTGGGTTTTAAGTAAGGTTAACCTTACTTCTGTGTATTTTGAAAGTATTGGTCATTTTCATTGGAGGAACTTTTTCTTTTTAATTTGGAGGCTTACCAAATAAATATTACCAAATAAATAAGTATGAAGTCAGTGATGATCTAAGAAATGTATTATATCTTTCAACACTAGTATGTATTTGGCTGTATCACAGATTCAAAATATTACTTTTAATGAATGGGCTTTACTGTTAAGTTATATCTGAATGATTACTATTTTGAGATCACATTGGATGTAAAATTTTAGATAAATATGCTTTTTTTAAATAGCCTGGATCTAAAAAATCAGCGAATGGATCAGATGATAAAACCAGCTGCAAGGAATCAAAGACAGGAAATCTGGACCCGTTGTCTTGCATAAGTAAGCTTCCATCATCTGTGCTCGTGATAAATTTGCAAACTTAATCTCAACAAAGCTCCCCACTCCCTTTGTTTTAACCACAGATTCACCTATTTTTAGTCATGTTAAAATGTATGTTTTTATTAAATATAGGCACTGCAGATCTTCATAAAATGTATCCTACACCACCATCATTGGAGCAACATATTATGGGATTTTCCCCAATGAATATGAATAATAAAGAATATGGTAGTATGGATACAACACCTGGAGGAACTGTTCTAGAAGGAAATAGTTCTAGTATAGGAGCACAGTTCAAAATTGAGGTTGATGAGGGATTCTGTAGTCCCAAACCTTCTGAAATTAAAGTAAGTATGTTTTTTCTAGAAAAATAATTCACTTCCTGTATTTTCTTATAGAATTAGTTTATTGCTATAGTCAAAAATTATTTCATAGTGGTTGCAGTTTTGTAGCTAAGTTGAAGACTGAATTGTTGTGTCACTATTAAGAATGCATTTAAGAAAATAATAGAATTGTATTTACATTTTATTCTGTTTAAAGAAGGGAAAAAAGGTCCAGAGCCTGTTTGAGATTTTTTTTTATTTTCCCCCCCAGAAGATAAGATACTGAAAACCTACCATCTTTATATTGTAGGATTTTTCTTATGTCTATAAGCCTGAAAATTGTCAAATTCTAGTGGGATGTTCCATGTTTGCACCTCTAAAAACTCTACCAAGCCAATATCTGCCCCCTATCAAATTGCCAGAAGAGTGTATTTATCGTCAGAGTTGGACTGTTGGAAAATTGGAATTGCTTTCTTCAGGGTCTACAATGCCATTCATCAAAGAGGGGTATGATTTATGTTGTTATAATAGTATATGAATTCTTATACAGCTTTAATTTTTTTTCATAGATTTACTTGGTATGCTGGAAAAAGAAAATTGGTTTTTGAAAATTCTAAAAATTATTTCTGGTTAATCAATTATAGTGATTGGCTGGGAGCAGTGGCTCACACCTGTAATTCCAACACTTTGGGAGGCCAAGGCAGGCATATCCCTTGAGGTCAGGAGTTTGAGATCAGCCTGGCCAACATGCAAAACCTCGTCTCTACTAAAAATACAAAAATTAGCCAAGCGTGGTAGTGTGACTGTAGTCCCAGCTACTTGAGAGGCTGAGGCACAGGAATGACTTGAACCTGGGAGGCACACGTTGCAGGGAGCCGAGATTGCACCAGTGCACTCCAGCCTGGGCAACAGAGTAAGACTTCGTCTCAAAAAAAAAAAAAAAGGTTAATTAGGTATGGTTAAACTATTAGGAAACATAAGACTATTATGCTGGATTTGTATTCAGAAGCACCTTTTCTTTTGGGCTGCAATTTTAAATTGCTTCCACTTTTACATTTGCCATATTTTCCACACGTGTCACATTTTAACATCTCTGACTTTGTCCATTTCAACTCAAGGCTGAAAGAAATCTGAATTTGAGATGTCTTATAAGTGGTAGCATCTTAAAATTACCATTTTTCCCTTTTTACACATGAGCATCTCTGAAATCATTTTTTTAATCATTTTTTATTTTACAGTCAGTAGCATCTTAGAATCAAGGAAATATAAGTATTTCTAGTAAACATAATTTATAGATAGTAAATATGGATGTCTTGGTGTGCATTAGTGTATACAGTACTTATTAATGATATTTGAACTTGTTGATTGATCCTTAGTCCACAATCACTTAGAGTAGATATGTTAACCAGAAATAAAAATTGACTGTACTTGTAATTCTTGCAATACTTGTCCTTTCGTAATTTTCTATGTAATTGAAAAACATTTGGGACGTTTTTAGTTGTATTTCATGTTACTAATATGTTCCTTTATATATGTATTTGATTTTCTTTTACCCTGGTGATGATAGTGATGGAAGTAATATGGATCAAGAATATGGCCCTGCTTATACACCTCAAACTCATACTTCTTTTGGGATGCCTCCTAGCAGTGCACCTCCTAGTAACAGCGGAGCAGGAATTCTTCCTTCTCCATCCACCCCTCGGTTTCCAACTCCAAGGACTCCAAGGACTCCTCGAACTCCTCGTGGAGCTGGTGGACCTGCTAGTGCTCAAGGTTCAGTCAAATACGAAAATTCAGACTTGTATTCACCAGCTTCTACCCCATCTACATGCAGACCCCTTAATTCTGTTGAACCTGCAACTGTCCCTTCCATCCCTGAAGCACACAGTCTTTATGTAAACCTCATCCTTTCAGAATCAGTTATGAATTTGTTTAAAGACTGTAACTTTGATAGTTGTTGCATCTGTGTCTGCAACATGAATATCAAGGGTGCCGATGTTGGAGTTTACATTCCAGATCCAACGCAGGAAGCACAATATAGGTGTACCTGTGGCTTCAGTGCTATCATGAACAGAAAATTTGGAAACAGTTCAGGATTATTTCTTGAAGATGAACTAGATATCATAGGACGCAATACAGACTGTGGCAAAGAAGCAGAAAAACGTTTTGAAGCTCTCAGGGGTACCTCTGCTGAACATGTTAATGGAGGACTAAAGGAATCTGAAAAACTATCTGATGATTTGATATTATTGCTACAGGATCAGTGCACTAATTTATTTTCACCCTTTGGAGCAGCAGACCAAGATCCTTTTCCTAAAAGTGGTGTAATTAGCAATTGGGTACGTGTTGAAGAGCGTGACTGTTGCAATGACTGCTACCTTGCATTAGAACATGGGCGTCAATTCATGGATAATATGTCAGGAGGAAAAGTTGATGAAGCACTTGTGAAAAGTTCATGCTTACACCCCTGGTCCAAAAGAAATGGTAAGTATGCTAATAAAATACTGTTTTGTTTGCTTATTTCACTTTAGTTGTATGACTTGGCTTTTCATTCTTAGGAAAAAGTAATAGCCGGGCGCGGTGGCTCAAGCCTGTAATCCCAGCACTTTGGGAGGCCGAGATGGGCGGATCACGATGTCAGGAGATCGAGACCATCCTGGCTAACACGGTGAAACCCCGTCTCTACTAAAAAATACAAAAAACTAGCCGGGCGCGGTGGCGGGCGCCTGTAGTCCCAGCTACTCGGGAGGCTGAGGCAGGAGAATGGCGTGAACCCGGGAGGCGGAGCTTGCAGTGAGCTGAGATCCGGCCACTGCACTCCAAGCCTGGGCGGCAGAGCGAGACTCCGTCTCAAAAAAAAAAAAAAAAAAAAAAAAAAAAAAAAAAAAAAAGTAATAAAGGCAATTACCCATGTAGCAAATAAAGACATTTAAAGTTGGACTTAAAACTCTTTTAAGGATGATGTTTTTAAAGGGTGAATTTCTTAGCGGTTTAATTTAATGTCACCAATAAAAGTATGGTTATTATAAATCTGTAATTATATACTTACGTAGGAATATGAAAGGCACATTGCGTATATTAGCATAACATTGCTAATGGTCTGCTTTATTCAACATTCTTTCACTCGTTAAGTATTTACTGGGCACCTTGTATGTGCCAGGTGTTATCCTAGGTTTACTGTTGAACAAAGCACACATATTCTTTGCCCTTTTTGAATCTATAATTTAGTGGAGAAAATAGGAAATAAACAAAAAAGCTTATAATAGAAGTAATTTGGAGAAAAAGCAGAGTAAAAGAGTAGAAAAAGACATGTATGTACTATTTTAGATGTATGGTCAGATAAGATACTGAGGAGATAGCATTTGGGCAAACTCCTACATAAAGTAGAATATGAGCTATGTAGTTAAATGAGGGAAGAGTGTTTCAGGCAGCGCAAACACCCTGAGGGAGTATTTTGTTTTTACGTGTTTGAGGAACATTAAGGTGACTGATGTTGCTGGAATGCTTTGGGTGATAGGGAGACTGGAAGGAGATGAAATTTAAGAGGTAGCCATTCACCAGCATCATTTAGAGTCTTATAGACCATGTAAGGCCTTTGTGGTTTGCACTAAATGTGATGGGAACCTATTGAACAGTTTTGACAAGGGGAGTAACATGATCCTTATTCTGATTGTTTTTTAAGAGATCTCTCAGCCTGGCACGGTGGCTCATGCCTGTAATCCCAGCACTTTGGGAGGCCGAGGTAGGCGGATCACCTGAGGTCAGGAGTTCGAGACCAGCCTGACCAACATAGTAAAATCCTATCTTTACTGAAAATATAAAATTAGCTGGGCTTGGTGGCGGGCACGTGTAATCCCAGCTACTTGGGAGGCTGAGGCAGGAGAATTACTTGAACCTGGGAGGCGGAAGTTGCAGTGAGCCAAGATTGCACTATTGCACTCCAGCCTGGGCAGCAAGAGTGAAACTCCCATCTAAAAAATAAAAAAGATGGCCGGGCGCAGTGGCTCATGCCTCTTATCCCAGCACTTTGGGAGACTGAAGTGGGCAGATCATGAGGTTAGGAGTTTGAGACCAGCCTGCCCAATATGGTGAAACCCCATCTCTACTAAAAATCCAAAAAATAGCCAGTGTGGTGGGGCGTGCCTGTGATCCCAGCTGCTCAGGTGGCCGAGGAGAGGAGTTGCTTTAACCTGGGAGGCGGAGGTTGTGGTGAGCTGAGATAACGCCACTGCACTCCAGCCTGGGCAACAGAGCAAGACTCTCTGTTGCTATTGTGTGGAAAATAGCCTTGGGGGTTGGCAGTAGTGAAAGTGAGAATAGAAGCAGGATAAATCAGTTGGAAGGCAGTTTCAGAAGCTTAGGTGAAAGATGATGGTAGCTTAGACAAGATAGGAGGCAAGCAAGATGTAAGTAATAGGTTTTAGGTATATTTGGGAAATAGAACCTACAGGGTTTGCCGATAGACATGTAAGAAAAGATGAGGCATCAATAATAGCTTGAGCAACTGGGTGAATGGTGGTACTAACTACAGAGGAGGGAAACACGGGAGTAAATCAGATACACATTTGGAGATAATATGTTTTAAATTCAGAGGAATGATTGGGTCCGGAGATTGAAAAATTTTGTGTGTGAGTTATCATCATGAAAAGCTGTGGATCTGGATGAAATAACCTATAGAGTAATTGTAGATAGAGTAGTACAAGGATGGAGCTGACATTTAGAGGTGGGGAGGGAGAAGAGGCGCCAGGAAAGAAAATTGAGAAGGAGGTTGGAGGAAAACCAAGAGAGCATGGTATCCTAGAAATCAAGATTAGGGAATTTTTGTTTGTTTGTTTTGAGACAGAGTCTCGCTCTGTCACCAGCCTGGAGTGCAGTGGCGCGATCTCGGCTCACTGCAACCTCCACCTCCCGGGTTCAAGCAATTCTCCTGCCTCAGCCTCCTGAGTGGCTGGGACTACAGGTGCCCGCCACCACACCTGGTTAATTTTTTGTATTTTAGTAGAGACGAGGTTTCACTGTGTTGCCCAGGCTGGTCTCGAACTCCTGAGCTCAGGCAATCCACCCGCCTCAGCCTCCCAAAGTGCTGGGATTATAGGCGTGAGCCACTATGCCCGGCCCGGGAATATTTAGAAGAGAGTGATCATCTCTATCAAATACTATGATACATTAAGGTGAAAACTGAGACAGCCTATTGGACGTGACCACATAGAAGTTGGTGGTCACCTTGATAGACAGTTTCAATCAACCTGATTAGAGTGGGTTCACAAAAGAACAGGATGAGAAGCAAACTTAGACAATTTTCTGGGGACTTTTGCTGTAAATAGCAGAGAAATTGCATAATAGGGTTAAAACAGAGGTTTATTATTATTTTGTTAAAGGTGCATTGGGAGTGATCCTATAGAAAGGAATTTTTTTTTAATTTAAAAGCCCAGGAGTTCAAGACCAGCCTGGTGAACATGGCAGACCCATCTCTACTAAAAATACAAAAGTTAGCTGGGTGTGGTAGCATGCACCTGTAGTCTCAGCTACTTGGGAGGCTGAGGTGGGAGTATAGCTTAAACCTAGGAGGTGGAGGATTCAGTGAACCATGATTGTACCACTACACTCCAGCCTATTTGACAGAGTGAGACTCTGTCTCAAAAAGAAAAAGACGGGCATGTAATGCAGGGTTGAGTAATAATGATAGTACAGATAGAATGTTATATGGCTTCTGAAAATGAATACAGTTATATATAACAAATATGAATCTTAGTGATGCTATTGAGGAGAGGAAGAAGGAACAAGTCCCAGAAGATTACATATAGTCAGATACCCGTTAAAAATACCTCTTTAATGTATTACCGTTGATAAAGTTTTGAAATAAGCACAACTAAGTGTATTATTTTACATGCACATAAAATTGAGGATATTGGTTAATTCTTGAAATTTCACACATACCCAGAAATGACCAAGAGATAGGATAGGGAGAAACGTTTAATAAGATCATTTTTGGTAATGTTCTAGTTTCTAGGCAGTGAGATTACAGTTGTTCATTTTATTATTAAAGGAAATTTTTGAAATGTAAGAGAACAACACATGGACCAGTGATTAAGTTCATGTATATGACATAGTATCAGCATTTATCCAATTATTCATTCCCAGGGACCAAATTTAAAAAGGGAAAGATACAAATAAATATCATAGGTATTCAAAAAAAAAGGAAAGATTATTTTAAACCATATAGAGTAGTTAAGATCATAGGCTGTGGACTCAGGCTGCTTGGGTTTGAAACATGACTCTAGCACTAGATACTGCCTGCTACCTTGGGCCAAGTTAGTTAACCTTTCTGTGCCTTGATTTCTTAAAATAGGGTCAATAATAAATTTACTTTACAGGGTGTTGAGATAATCAAATGAAATAGTACATATAAAAAAGAGCAGTTGATCTGCCCACCGTGGCCCTGCCTCAAAGTGCTGGGATTACAGGCGTGAGCCACGCAGGAGTTCAAGACCAGCCTGACCAACATGGTGAAACCCCATCTCTACTAAAAATACAAAAATTAGCTTGGCGTGGTCGTGCATGCCTGTAATCCCAGCTACTTGGGAGGCTAAGGCAGGAGAATTGCTTGAACCCATGAGGTGGAGGTTGCAGTGAGCCCGAGATCCTGCCATTGCACTCCAGCACGGGCGACAAGAGTGAAATTCAGTCTGAAAAAAAAAAAAGCAGTTTTTCTCACGTAGTAAGAACTCAGATGTTAGTAGTGGTAATGACAGCAGCAGGAAGATTAGTGGCACTCTTTTTTTTTTTTTTTTTTTGAGACGGAGTCTCGCTCTGTCGCCCAGGCTGGAGTGCAGTGGCTGGATCTCAGCTCACTGCAAGCTCTGCCTCCCGGGGTTCACGCCATTCTCCTGCCTCAGCCTCCCGAGTAGCTGGGACTACAGGCGCCCGCCACCTCGCCCGGCTAGGTTTTTGTATTTTTTTAGTAGAGACGGGGTTTCACCGTGTTAGCCAGGATGGTCTCGATCTCCCGACCTCGTGATCCGCCCGTCTCGGCCTCCCAAAGTGCTGGGATTACAGGCTTGAGCCACTGCGCCCGGCCGTGGCACTCTTTATAATTATTTTGTTTTTAAAAACCAACTTACAAAATAATGGAAAATATTGAGCTTTACCTGGCATATGTTTTTTGAATAACAGTAAGCACTGATGTAAACAGAAAGCTGCAGACTTAAAAATGAATTTCTTCTTAAGAACTTGTCCAAAGAAAATAATTTAGTACAAGAAAGACAATAATTTAGTACAAGAAAGAGAGAAATGGGGCCCATGGCTCACCCCTGTATCCCAGCATTTTGGGAGGCTGAGGAAGGAGTATTGCTTGAGGCCAGGAGTTTGAGACCAGTCTGAGGAACATAGCAAGACCCCATCTCTACCAAAAAGAAAAGAAAGAAAGAAAAGACTTTATATTTCAGTTAAAAATTTTCAGTATTAAAAACAAATAATGGGCTGGG